ACAGCTGCATTTTTGACTATTATGTTACAGAGATGCTCTGTTGCATGAGAGAGCTGAGCCTTTCTAGACTGACTTCCATCCTGTGGTTGTCAGGTTAAAATCAGCTATTGATGCTGAATAAAATGTATAACGTGACTGTAAACCATCAGTTGGTGAGAAGAGCAATTGATGTGCGACCATCTTTTTTACAGTGGAAATGACTCTTCTTTTTATTGGACTGAGGAGAGCGGTTGGAGGATTAAAGGAGGCTAATCAGTGACAGTATTGGAGGAGGAGTGGGACATTTCTCGCTCTCCTGACCCGCTGTCTCTCCCCTGTGTGTACCTCAGGTACGGCCTGCAGACCATCGGCATCACGGCGGCCAACACCTGGGGTCTGTTCCTGTTGGTGCTGCTGCTGGGTTACGGACTTGTGGAGATCCCGCGCTCCTACTGGAACGCCTCCCGACACGGACACCTGCTGATGAAGACGTACTTCAAGGCATCCAAGCTGATGACGGAGAAGGCGGACGCCGAGGAGAACCTGGAGGACGTGATGGAGGTGAGCGAATGTGAGGGGCGCCGGTTGGGTTCAGGGGTTTAGTGCATGGTTTCTTACCGGGTCGGGTTCTGCTGCTGCAGGAGGTGAGGAAGATTAGTGAGTCCATCAAGTACAACCACCCTCTGAGGAAATGCATCGACACCATTCTGAGGAAGGTAAGAGAACGGATCGGTTCTGTTCATCATGAAGGTTGTTCTGGTGGAGTCGGTTAACCTGCTGACCCCCCCCCCACAGTGTCCTGTAGATTATCAGGAGAAGATGGGTCGAAACATGGATGACTATGAAGACTTTGATGACAAACAGAACACCTACCCGACTGAGAAGAGCCTGGTGAAGCTGCACAAACAGGTGAGGAGGGACGGAACCAGACCTGCTGGGTAAAAGGTTCTGTTCTGGAGTCCTCTTACCCTGTTTGTTCTCAGGTGATCTACGCGGTCCAGCGGCACAACCGGACCCGGGTCCAGTGGCAGATCCTCCTGCAGCAGGCCATCCACCTGGAGGACGTATCCAAGAACGAGACCAGTTTGAGCCACCAGTTTGTCCACAGCTTCCCGTCCTCCGAGCCAGTCGGCTGGTTTAGCCGATACATTTATACCCCGACCGTAGGTGGGTCGCCACTCGGAGCGTCCACATCCACACCAACCGTTCCACCCAACTAAAGCTTGTCCCGTCTGTGTTTCTCTCTCAGAGTGGTACTGGGAGTGTCTCCTGAAGCGCTGGTTCTACCGGCTGCTCTCAGTGGTTCTGACTCTGTTCAGTGTGGCTGTGGTCTGGTCCGAATGCACCTTCTTCAGCACCCAACCAGTCCTGTCTCTGTTTGCTGTCTTCATCCAGCTGGCTGAGAGAGACTATAACTACCTTTACATTGAGGTGAGACACACCTGCTGGTGTATTCCTGTTTTGAACTTGACTTAAAAATATTCAATAGCTTAATGGATTTCTAATGTATTTGATAGGTGCAGCCCTATTATTATTATTATTATTATTATTATTAATTTCCAAGTGTCCCCAGTTCAGGTTGTTCTTTTAGAGTAATATGTTGTTTCTCCACCAGATGGCGTGCTTCGTCACCATCTTCTTCCTCTGCATCAGCGTTTACTCCACTGTGTTCCGGATCAGGGTCTTTAACTACTACTACCTGGCCTCCCACCATCAGACGGATGCCTACAGCCTGCAGTTCAGCGGCATGTCAGTGTCACACCGTCACCTTGCAGTTTATCACTATTACTCTGCAGTTTATCACTATTACTCTGCAGTTTATCACTATTACTCTGCAGTTTATCA